GTATCTTTCTATTCTCATTTGATCAGCTTGGAAAGAACACCGTTATCTCTGTTAACATCTATTTGCAACTGGTCTTAGCAGCACTGCAGAGCAGATAGATGGATATTGGGTAAAGAGTTATCTCTCTTGATTAACTTTGTTGCATGTCTTTGTGTGCTTTTAAGGTTCAACATCAAGCACCCACAGACTTCACTGGAACGAACACCTTTTCATTGAATTTGAACTGCATTATTTTAACTGGAAATGGCTAAAGGGGCAAAAGGCCCCAAAGGGAAGAAGGTCACATTGAAGATTGCTAAGACCTGCATCAAGATCACCTTTGATGGAAAACGCCGTCTTGACCTGAGCAAGATGGGCATCACAACTTTCCCCAGGTGCATCCTCAAGCTGGATGATGTGGACGAGATAGACCTCAGCAGAAACATGATCAAAAAAATCCCAGACGCAATCGAAAAATTTCAGAACCTGCGTTGGTTGGACTTGCATAGTAACCAGATTGATAAGCTGCCAGAAACAATAGGGAACCTACAGAACCTCATTTTCCTGAATCTCTGCAACAACAAGCTCACAGCCCGCAGCTTACCAGTGGAGCTAAATCAGCTCAAGAATCTGCGAAACCTTAATCTTGGCCTAAACCACATTGACAATCTCCCAACCACTCTGGGAGCTTTAAAGGAGCTCCAGGAAGTTGGGGTTTTTGATAATTTACTGACACTTATCCCAAACAGTGTTGCAAAACTCCCTAAGCTGAAGAAACTAAATGCCAAGAGAAACCCATTTCCTGGGCCCACAGAAGAGGAAATCTTTATTGATAACATCAAACGCCTTGAGACACTTTATTTGGTAGAAGAAAAAGATCTTTGCTTCTCATGCTTGAGGAAATGTCAAGAAGAGAGGGACAAGCTAAACAAGCTGAAGAATACAATGCCCGCTCCCCTCAGAAAGCCAAACTTTTCAAACCTCATGACCCCCAACTCACTAGCAAAGGAGAATCAAACAGAGTGGAGGTGAATGAGGTACCATCCCCATCCCCAGACAAATGACAGATAATGATGCTGAGGTATGGCATGGCATAGCAACTTGCATCTCTTCCTTATGAATGATCCCAAGTAATAAAACAGCTCTGGATCTCATACAGCTCTACTACTCTAACAGACATGTATCAATCCACCACACATTCCCATAGCAGGAGGTCAGAATCTAAATCTGTTAGCCCCAGCTTCTCTCCAGCTTGTAATTGGGAGCGGACATTACAACAGTTGTACTGACCTTCCAATATGTACCACAGCTTCAGTGAAGACCTCCCCTTCCCTCTTCTGATTCAATAAAGGTGGGCTGGAGAGTTTGGACACTAGATACAAGAGGCATCCCAAGCATCTTTTCATCCATTGCCAAAGACATCCTCTCTTCTAGCTCTCAGAGAAAGACCAGAAATTATTGGATGTTGGAGGCTAGGTGCTGACACCAAAATAAGTGGCAACTTGGCTTTTTAGAACCAAGCTAGTTTTCATTTCCAGCTCCAAACTTGGAGCTTGGGAAGAGGAACTGAGGATTGCCCCATATACCCCTAACCCTGCCAAGACTATCAACATTTAGGAACCCGAAGGCCTGAATTAGCAAATCATAAATCTGATGATTCTTGCTCCCAATTGAATCCAGTCAGGGTCCAAGCATCATTAGAGAGCAACAAAGCTACTTGCTCTAGCACATGTCTTCCTTGCCAATACATCACAAATTGCACCCTTAACACAGTGAACAACAATTGCAATTCTTTTGGCTCCTTTCAAAATTCTTTAGATATTTTGTCTAAGGAAGAATCTCCAATTGCATTTTGAGTTTTACTTGAGGCAGGATTTTGGCATTACCCTTTGATTGTGAACCTTTAGCATTATATCAGTTATTTAAATGTTTCTGGATTTGGTACTATGCCTTTTCTTGCCTCATGCCTATAAAGAGTTAATGCTGGCAACCTGGTAATTGCATATAGAAACTACTATTTAAATTGTCCTATTTTATGCCTGAGCTCAATCCATAATGGAGTTTTGCAGTTTCTTTGTATTCTAAAGTGTCAGATGAATTACTACATCAAGAATTTCCAAATGATTTCCTTCTCTAGCATTTAAAACAGCAACATGGGCTAGGATACAGAACCTGCAGAAACTCAAAAGATACATTCCAAGTAGAAGAAAAGATGTTTACAGCCTAGGGCCAATGACAGCATTCCAGTTATGAAGAATGGATTAGTAATGCTTCCTCCCACATTTGATCATTTACAAGTGAGAATCACATGACTGTGCTGTGCATGCATGAGATGGCTCTCCAACTCAAGTTAATGGAGATACAGTATGTTGCACATTTACAGTATAAGCAGTTGTAAGGGTATTTGGATTACACTGTTCCTATCACATATTGTGCAGTCCCTATTGTCAATCCCACTAGGTAGACCAGACGAGGAAGAGAACTCCACAAGAAGGCAAAAACTACTTTTATTGAGACTGGCCATAATAACAGAATCTTGCAAGTCTGGTTGTGCTGTATTTCCTCTTCCTCCTCCTCATTATTCAATGAATTTGGGAGGTGTCTGCCTGAGCCACTACCAAATGTTATCACACTGTTCTGGACTTAAAAAAATGTTTCAGCCCCTTTTGCCTAGGTTCTTGCATATTTCCATCAAGGTCATCTTCCTTATTCTCTACACCTATTCAGGCTTTTCATATATGCCTAGGAGTCACAGTGTACAGACAAAACTCTCCTCTTCTCTGAAAGGGACAGGGCAACTTGTGCTGGCACTTAGATGTCAAGCATTTAATCCTTGCATTCTAACTCACGTGCATGCAAGAACTAGTCAGACTAAAGCAACATAATGAATTGTAGAGATGGGCATGCATGATCCCAAGTTATATTTGACTGGCTTCTATGAAAATAAAGCCTCTTCTGCATAAATACACAGAATGTCCATACAGAATTTCCTCTCAAAGCAGCAGCCAAGTGACTCCCAAAACCTATGAGGCACTTCTTCCCCACATACCAGGGATTCTGCATTCAGCATGGTGCTTCTGGGGCAAAAGAAGAGGCTGAATATATGGCAAAAAATGGAATACAATAATAATACATTCAAGGATCAATTACTGATTTAACTTCTGTGCTACAATGAATGTAGAGCTTTACTGAGGTTTCCCAGAACCTTTTAAAAGGCAAAAGTAAATTAAATCTACAGCCAATAATTTTGCAAATGTGGCAGTTTGGCTGCAAATACAGGGAGCCTATTATCACTGTACTGTCAATTTAAGGTACTAGCATTGAAAGTCTTAAATGGCTTAGGATCTGGGTGTCCCACCTGTTGCAAACCTGTCTAGTTGTTAAGATTAGCAGGAAAGACCCTTCAGAAGCCCATCTTTCCAGTGGAGATGGCCTTCTCCTCTGTTTCTCCAATGCTTTGGAATGCCCTCCCTCTCAAATTGCATTTGCCTTTCCTCCCCTACCCCCTCCAAGCATCAGACTTTTGACTTGGAAATGATTTTAGTATTAATATTATGCTTTTACTTTTTATATACCATCTTTGCTTTCTAAATTTGCAAGCTGTTTTGAGTACTTGTCAGACAGCAGACTATGTACCTGAGATTAGATTAGATTACGAGAGAAAGAGAGAGAGAGAGGGAGGGAGGGATAGATAGATCTTAGGTGAAACATACACTTTGGATCTAAATGTGCTCCTAAAGATACATATTAAAGTTCAAATTTCTAAGATTAAAACAGCAAGAATTACCTATTCTTAATAGCTGAAATCAGAGACCCAGTCTGATGGAGTAGTTAAAGGCTAGAGTGCAGGAGACCCAAGAGTTCTAGCCCTGCCTTAGGCACAAGGCCAGCAGGGTGACCTTACGCCAGTCCCTCTCTCTCAACTCTAGGTCAGGGCAAATTACTTACAAAAATGTTGCCATGAAAACTGCAGGGACATGTCCATGTGTTGTCAAGAGTCAAAGGCCCATACAATAGCTGAAATTGAGACAGTCTAAAGCTCAAATGCTGTATGAAGTTGTAGGATTTAGATGTATTTAGTAAATGATCCTGAAGATCTGGGTCCATCAAAGGCAGATTAAAAAGTGAACAATTCTGTAAATACTGTAATTGAAATACTGGAATGCTAGACAAAAATTCCCTTCACTGTACTTTCTTCTTGGAATACTTTTACTCATATATTTTTGTACTGTAATATTTAGCACTTATTTAAAAAAAATAAAAAAGGAAAAATGTAATCAGCTCCAATAGAAACCATTTCATGGGTAATGTTTTCTGCCTTCTGCAGCACTGCTGTATGAGTCTCTGAAATATCAACACTCCAGAAATCTTGTTTGGAGAGAATTCTCTTTTGACTCCTTCTTTAAACACTTCTACATGTGCCACGTACTCAGTTCTGTTCTGTTTCTCTGTTCATCAGAAATCCTCTCATTTGCTATTTAAATATTATTTTGATATGTTCAAAACACGAATGATCATGGAAGAACATAATCTGATGAACAGTAAACTCTGCATACTAGCATCTGAGAATGCAAAGCAGTTAACTTTATACCTGAACGTGTGTATGTCAAATTCCTCAGTCATCCCTACCAGGGACTAGTCAGCGAGGCTGTGCATAAAATTCCCACTGAAGGAGAATTTTAGCCAAAAGCGGGAAGAGTCACTACCTTTACCTTTCTCTGGTTCCAAGGCACAATTCAGAGGGTTCCTGAGTTTGGGGCAAATGGACAACATTCGGACTGGCTGGGCTTAGGGCTGTGTTCTTCCCAAACAGCTGATCTGAAGACTTGCTACTGAGTGCCTCTGATCTCAGGATGCCCTTATTGTCTGAATTGGGTGACACAGATTCAGCTTGTTCTCACTGAGATGGTAAAGCTCATGTTTAAATGCGAATGTATGTCCAGTTAAAAAATTCTACCCCAACAAAAATCAGAATGCAAACAACTGTTTTAGGAGATCAGAGAAAGTAAGAGCTGCCCCCAACAGCTGAAATCCAGTGTTTCTGAGGTAAATGAATGCTGTCAGGCAAGTGCCAAGGATAATACAAAAGACTACAACATTTATTTAATTTAATTTTCCTCTATATTAGGATATGTAGAAATACCTTATATTAGTAGACTCATCTGTGATGCCTTTTGATTTCACTGAACAAAATCTGAGGAAAGAAAATATACAAGAGTTACTTTATTCTTCTGAATGGTGACAGCTTTAGACAATTTATTCTGAAAGATTCTATTTTATTTTGCAATATATATTTATGATAGTAAATACCAGCTTCTGATAGGACTGAAATAACTTTGGGGATCCAATTGCCAAAATAACACGCAAATATACAGCCACACATATACATAGGTAAACAAGATAGAGAAAGCATGCTAAACATGTCATTTGGATTTTTTTCCATACCTTTACATCAGCAGCATCCAAGAGTTGTTCATGTAACATGTAATGAAGTAACATGTTTCTGTTGCATCTGTGAGCATTTGTGTGACTGCTTACATGGGAAACCCAGGATGGGTTGCAAATGTTCCACTCTGGGTCATGTGACCAGGAGAGAGGGGCTTTGGAGTAATTGCCAACATTCTCAGCCATTCCCAACAAGCACCCACTTGCCCTGGCTAGGGATGAATTGGGGGGTCTTCCCCCCAAGAATGTTTTTCTCCTCAGCCCCAGCATGATTTGGCCCATTTTTAAATTGAATTTTCTTTTCCTTACTTTTCCTAAATTTGGTCCCATTATGTTCAGTCTACAGAGAATTAATCTGTTGAAAAAGAGACAGAGTCCTCAACCCTTTTAAATAATCTCTTTCCAGAAATCCATTGGGCTAGAAAGAATTAAGAAACAATAAAATAATTGGCTTTTCCTTCAAGAGTTATTTATTTCTTAGGGCCACTTGATTTTTCATATCTCAAGGTCAGAAAGAACAATTAATCAAATATGCTGGATTTTGCCTGCCAAGGGCATGAAGCCAAGTTACTATGTTCATTCCTACTTGACTAAAGCCAGATATGTGTTTGGGCTTAGCAACTGTCTGTTTTAATATTCTGCAGATATAAGAGAAACACAGGTTTACAAAGAAGGACTTGGAAAATTACCTGTTATATTAAGAAAGTAGGTGAATCTGTGTACCTTTGTAGAATGTTTACTAATGATGCGAAAATGGAGACAAGTTGTGCAAATGCTGGTGTCACGGCAACATGTAGTAAGTATATGGTCTGTTGCACAGAATGAATGTTTTTTCAAACAAGTGAAAATAGCTAAATGTAAGAGCTTTTGGTTGTATGAAAATGAGAGCTGGGAATGTCAGGAGAAACGCAAACATTGTATGAGTAGAAATGAGGTACTTAAATAGGGCTGGAGTGTGTATGTGGTCCTGAATGTGGCCTGAATGCAAAAGTGAATAAATGGCCAGAGAAATATGTTGCCATGGTTTGATCGTATAGATAGAATGAATGAGGATAAAAAAGAAAATACATAAAGAATGAATAGGTTGAGAGGAAGAGGATGACCAAGAGTGTCACCGTGAGATCCTGAAAAAGAGAGCACTGAGAAACTTAAAGAACAAAAGCAGTGCAAAATGATAGAAGCAATGATGGTTAGCAAGAAGAGAAAAGTACAGAGAATAGTCCATGGTGTTGGCATAAACTACTTTTAGATATGTTTCACTTTCTTTTTTTATCTATGCCTTTAATTTCTTTGACTTACTATTTCTTATTCCTTTTCTGCCATATGTCATATCTTGCTTGCCCTGAAAGGGAAGATATGGATATGGATATAAAGGTATGTGTTGTGTCTGTATTAAGGCTACACGTCCAAAATATTGTGACAATTTGGTTAGATCTTTTTAAATGTGATAAGCCCTGTTAATTATAGATAAAACACTTATGTATGCCTAGCCAAAGTTAATAGCCTCAAAGAAACTGCCAAGCAACGGGGAACCTATATGAAAAAATAAGATTTCTAATGAACTCTGAAGAAAACAGCTTGGGATCAGGCAGGAAACAATGCTTCTTCGTAGCTTCTGCAAGAGGTACCTTGTCAAGGTTTTTGTCCTGTCACTGTTGTGGAATACGAGGAAAATGGAATAGCCATTGTTTAAGAAGATCTCCAGAGCTATCTCCTGTGAAGACAAACCAAATGGGGTATGGTCAGCTTATAAGAGAAAGGAGAAATTGCTTCTTCTAAGCAATTTCAATCAAAACTGAATGGCTTAAAAGATCATCAAAAATGTCTAGAAAGCAGCCTTATCCAACGGAGAATTTCTCTCAAGCCCTCACTTCATCCCATGAAACATTAATTGTCCAATACAGAAGAATCATGTTTAGGAAATGTCAGGAGCCAACAGGACTAGATCCAGGGATCCTGGGATCTCCATGCTGCTTCCCCAAGAATTCATTGTCAGGGGTGCAGATCAGAGAGTGGTATTTGGTTAAAATCCAGAGGCCCAGGCTGCAGGCAGCTATAGAAAGCTTATCTTCCAGACATCTTCAAAAATAGTTACTGAATTTTACATTTTAATGTGATGGGGGGGAGGAATTATTAAGGATACAACTGGAGAGAATGTATCTGAACTGTATTTATTTTTAATGACTTTTAAACATAAAGGATTTTTTCCTGGCCTTACCCACTATTTTCTGGAGCATGGCCCCTGGCATGTCCCACTGAAAGGCCAAATGTTACACATCCCTGCTCCAGGTTAACCATACACCCACCCATGCAGTTGATCAATTCTCCTTAAGTTGGAAACCCTATAAGCTTTTTAAGAGCTCTGCTAGAAGAACAATAGTTGTTGCGTTTGCTCACCTATGCTATTCCCATTCTGCTGTTGCTTAAAACATCTCACTGATAGGAATACTCAAGCTTAGAAGAAGTCTCAAAATCAGAAACAATTTCCTTTAACTTGGCAAAACCAGGACAGGGTACAAATGTTGGTTTGTATTTTTATATTTTGATAACTTCACTGGTTTTGTTGTTACTGTTATTGTTGGTCTATCTCTAATAAGTTTTTCACATAGGATTTTTTTCCTGAGGAAGATTTAAAACATAGCCTTGAACTCAAACATACTGTAGATATGTGGAATTCATTCAAATATTTCAGAATCTTCTTTCCCTTCTCTGTCATCCAAAGAAGCATTTAACAGTTTGCACATTTATATAACAGTTGACCATTTCTTTTATTCTAACTTGTTGAGCTTCCATCTCAAAACCTTGTGTATCTTCATTAGATACCCTCTACTTGAGGAAAAGTCTATACAGACAGCTGATTCCTACCTGAAGAAGAAAGCGCATTGGCTGGATCTCTTTAATGTCACTGTAGGAATGGCGGGAACACGTGGGCTCAACAGCTACGGCCTCAGTTTCATAGCACAAGTTGTAAATGAATGATTCACTGATGCTAGAAACAACCGCATGAAATGTGCATTAGACAACAACTGCATCATTAATTTGACTTCTCTAGTAGCAAATTAGGCCATTGTCCTCTTCTTCCTTGCACAAAAACCTGCAGATGAGCAACTTGTTCCAGAACCATGTCAGGCTGACTCAGAAAATAATATGAGTAATTGCCTGGTAAACTGGAAATAATTTGGCTTATTTTCTGAAGACTTTCTGTGTTTCCTAAACAGCCCTGTTTTTCTGGAGCTCCAGTTAGCCTGTCCCCTTTTTGATAATGGGATTTGATTGATGGAATTAAATACTCTGAGATCTGCAGGGAGATTGATGGAGAGCAGCCTTTCCTTTCCTTCTCTGGCTGTAAAACCATGGCTCTTGGAAACATGATAACATGATGAGACCCTGGTGCTTATCTTCTGGTAAGTTGCAATGAACCAAACAGAAGAAAATGAAAAAAAAAATCCCTCCCTCCTTCCCACTACAATGTGTGAGGAATTGGGATTTAACCATATATAGAAATGACATGTTTTAGCAATAACCAGTGATATAACAAAGCTGTTTAACCCCAAGAACAGCTCAGATAGGAAACAACTCACCATGATAAGCAATGGCTTGTGCAAAAAACCTCCTCTAGGTGGGACAGAGTGAAATGCTTGCAGATGTAGAAATGGTCCTGGCCAAAGAGAATCACCCCTTCCAATGCTACGTGTCCATCTATTATCACTACAGACTGTCGGCATGTAACCTAAACAAGGAAGATAGCAATGCATGTAAACTGCATAGCAGTGCTTACTTGCTCACCATTCCTCAATATTTTACAAAGAAAAGTGGGGACTCAACTCAGTTAGCTAATTAAGAATCATTGGCTGAGCAATATTCCACCAAGAAATTTCCTTCCTTCTATAATGTAACCTTCTTCATTCTGAAATAATTTTTACTGCTTTGTTTCAGTAGCATAGTCAATTGCAAAATTAAGTGTAATAATTTCAGAATGGATCTGGTAACACTACAGAATGCCAAAATAAAATACATTCAGCACAATATGTTTCCAGATTGGGGGTAGGGATTCTTGACTGTGTGAAATTTCTATACATCTGCATAACCTGTGTTTCTCTCACTGGGCTTTTCTATATGGCAGCCTTCAGCTGCTTGTCTCCCATGTATAAACCAGATAGAAATGTCTTCCAAAATTCCTGTATGGATTTCAAGCCCTTTTTCCACTTTGGCTCTCGTAACAGCCAAATGTTTTGTTTGTGTCTCAGTTAACACGGCCCTCTACTGATGAGTTCCTATGCTTCTTTATTCCTCCCACCCATGTCAGGAAAGCAAACACCAATCACTTTTTTGGGAAAACTTAATGCATTTAGAAATTTAAAGCATCAAAATGCATGCATATCCAGCTACCACAACCAGTTTTAAAATAAAAGTGTCTTTCTTGCCTTTCCCAGGTCTTTGCTGCAGCTGTTGGGGTCTTTGGTTTGAAACCAGGTTCCAATTTTTTTTTTTTTTTAGTTACTATTTTTCTCTTGCTGAGCTACCCACTTCTGTTTTTTTAACTGGTTGACTGGTGCACTGTTCCATCATTCTTGCTGCCACTAGAAGTAGAAGAATCTCCCCCAGCTTCCAAAGAGCCCATGTGCCCATGTGGATTAATGTGAGAGGACTTTTAAACAAAAGGGACTTTTAAGAAGGAGGCATTTTCCTTTTGCCAGTATCTCTTGTGGAGATAAACTAGTGGCCCAGAAAAGAAAAATAATAATAAAAAGAAATAATAAAAAAAGAAGAAAAAGCATCAGGAGAAGATCAGCTTGGAGCACAGCAACTACACCTTGCTGATTAAAGCAAGGTCAATGAGGACACATATAGGGTTGCTGAAAATGGCCTTGAACCATGACGCTGAAATACTTGGGTGTTTTCCAGCTTTTCATCCACTTATAGCATTCTAGTTTCTTCCACAACAAACAATGACAAAAGGCAAATGCTTCTTTCTTAAAAATCCTATTTACTTAACAATCCTATGTGGCTGAGATCTAATGTAATCATCCAGGAAGCAGTTACCTTTGGTTTGGTTAAATTGGAAACCAGGCAGCTTTCAAGCCATGTCAGATCAGTTCAATTTTACATAGTAGGGAGAGAATTGGTGTGTAAAACTTGGTCTTTTCTTGTAGTCAATAGTATGAGTAAACACAATATTGACAGAAATGAGGTAGCTTAGTAAACACAGCCCCGCAGAAAGAGTGGTTTTTTTTTTTAATGAATGAAGCAATGGAGAGTCTGAAATTAAACTTAACTTCCTTTTCTCAAAGCAAAAGACAGAAGGAGTCCACTGGTCTAGCAGAATGATTCAAATGACGTGGAATAATTGCATACATAACTTCAAACATATTTCTTGGAGCAATTAGCATTAAGTTGTTCAAATTGCTTCAAGATGCAGAGAATTGAAGTGACATTGTTCTGCTGTTAAAGGTGAACTACTCTATTGGTATAAGGTAGGCCCCCACCCCCACCCCCAATATTCTGTTGCTCAAATTCAAGAGTATATCACCAAAATATACCAGCATAATTTACCATTTTAAAAAACTAAGATTAGTAAGCCTCTGATTAAACCTAACTTCTTAAAACTTGCAAAACAATGCTTCAAAACCCCAGCCCCACGACCCAGCTGGGTTTTTCTGGACAAAATTGATCACAATAACTAAGTGTCCTTTGACTATAAAATGATTTCTCGCACTTCTTATAGAGAGTTTGTGTGTATGTGTGTGTGTGTGTGTATTTCCAACTTAAACTATGTCTTGAAATTAGATTAGAAGCCACAGCTGAACTACCTTCCTTCTCAGCTGGAAGAACAGCATAAAATGTGAGGGTGGGCCATATTCCAAATGTTACAATTTCTAGCCATTTCAGAGTGAAAAAAGAGAAATAATGTATTTGAGAAGGCTGAGTCTCAACCTTCAAAAGAATATCAACATTTAAATTAAAGGCATGACACTTTAGGATTGAGGAGGATGGATGGAGATTTCTTCCTATAGAACTGAAACAAGATATTTTTATTGTGCTTTTTATCTTCAAAATATAATCAGAAAAAAAGCAAACCAAAGCCTTTTTGGCTCTGTTTCTATTGACAAATCTACAATTTGGTAGCAAACTACTGAGTTTGGAGAAATGAAATTAGTTTTCTCTGTAAGAGGAACTGGAAATGTGTCTTTTGTTACTCTACCTTAAAAAGCTGCAAAAATAGACTCCAGTTAGTTGATTAAATAACACTGATTTTCTGATGAACCTTCAAACTAGAATGGGACTCCTTCTGCCTTACCTGCCTCAGTCATTTTGGCACTACGTTGAAACAGGATAGAAAGAGTATTGATGCAATTGAAACTTGGTGTTGAAGAAAACCCCTGAGAATACCATGGTCAACCAAGAAAACAAATGGATCACTGAACAAATCAACCCAGAGTTCTCACTTGAGGCACAAATGACTACGCTCAAATTATCCTACTTTGGACACATTATGCAAAGACCTAGCTCTCTGGAAAAGGCTCTGATGCTGGAAAAGGTGGAACAAAAGAGAAGAGAAAGACCATCAGCCAAGTGGATGGACTCAGTTACAGTGGCTATGGGTGCACCCCTGGAAGACCTGAAGGACCTGGTGAGGGACAGAATGCCATGGAGAAAAATCTATCTATGTGGTTGCTAAGAGTTGACACTGACTTGATGACACATAATCAATTTATTATTCACATCTACATTGAAAGAAGCTCTGCTTGATTCTGAGCATGCTCTTGGTGGCTTTTGATTAATTTGTTCTTGGAAATGGCACCAGTAAGCTGGTGCCATCCAGTCTTCAATTTTAAATTTTAAATTAAAACATTAAAATTAATATTGAAAAATTAAATTTTAAATTTTAAATTAAAACAATTTTAATGGATTCCTGCTCTATTTTAAATTTTGTCTTCAGATAAAAAGGTAGTATTCTTTTAAGAAGTTATAGTTTTCTTAGCATGTTCCTTTTTTTGTTTTTTTTAATCTGCACTCAGTCATTACCGACTCTGCAGTGACTGCTTTTGGACGAGTCCTTTGCAGTTTTGAAGAGTTTCTCTTTTTCTCACATCCCTTTGCTTTCACCGTGAGAATTGTTTCTGATCCTTAATTTCTCTCTCTAATTCCTTCAAAGTCACTTTACCCAAACTATCACAGCATTCAATCCTAAGAATGTCTGTGCTAGAATGAGAAAAACTAACCCATTTAGTGACTTTCACTTCCAGTGTAAAGTCCACAAAGGTCATTATGGCAACTGAGGACATGGCCCCACTGTAAGTCCTGTGGTGCCCCTACAGAGTCTGAGTCTGTCAGTCATTTGACTGCTGCAAGGATCACCAGTATTAGGAACAAAGACAATGCCGCAAGACTTCCTTTTCTTCCCAGCAAAGGGAACCATGTTGCTGCATTCCCACCATATTATGCAGGAGGGATGCAGCAATACCAATCTCTCTTCCTGGGAGGAGAAAGCAGGCCTCACCATCTCCCTTTCCATTTCAGCAAAATGACTACCTTCCTGATGCCATGAGCAGTCATTTTGAGCAGTGGAAGTAAGGAGACGTTCTCTCTGAATATGTATCAAAACTCTGTTTATGCAAAGGGGGAGAGGGGTCTCCCCATCCTATCTGGCTCCCAAAGACATCACCTGTAATCTAGTATGACTATCAGGGACCAAAATATTGTTCATCCTGACAGAGAGAAATTATACCACCAGGAGCTGAGTTGAGCTCAACAGACTTTATCTTATTTTACCTTACTTAATCAGAAAGAAAGTTGAAATGTCAGCCTTTGTGAGTAATACTGAAGATTTTTAATTGATATAAACTTTTATATTCAGTCATGTTTTTCAATTCTATAGTCCCATATCCAAAAATAGTTTTATCACACAATGGACTTCTTGAGAAAGAAATGGTGAACTGAAGATGGCTCTGCTAAAAGTGGAACCAACAACCACAATGGAATGTAGAACTGGTGAGTAGACTGGCTCTTTGTAATTCCTCTTCGGACAAGGAGAGGACCTGAGATTGCCCACAAGTGCTCCAGATAGCTGCTCCTCATGAGGAGATGCAAGGCAGTGATCTCCGGTGGGTGGGTTCACAGCTCTGGGAGATGAGGGAATGGCCATCTTGCTCAACCCACAGTTGGCGTCTTTAAGGACACTGGGTTTGCGTGCTTCCTTTTCTAATCGCTTTTGGAAATTGCTTGTTAATTGCTTTTCAGCTATTAGGAACCTTTGGATTGACAAGTTTTACAGCACCAGGTAAGTTTCCTTCAATCCTTAGCAAAAGAAGTTTTAAATACAAATTTAAGGACTTAAAAAAATTTTTTTTGGAACAAACAGCAAAAGGGTGATTAAAAGTTTGATTTCAGAAAGTTATAAACAGACTAAGGGTTCAGATAAATTTGAAGTAAGATTTTGGAATTAATTATAAAGAATCCTTTCCATGGGAAAATGCTTTTGTTTTGAATTTAAAAAAAACATAATAAGATTTTAAAAACTGGACACCAGAGGAAACTAAGGATTAACAATTAAAGGAGAAAAACACATAAGCTCAACTCAGAATGAAGCAAAATATTCTAACATTGGACATATTGAAGGATATTTTTGAAAAACAGAGTCAAAAATTAATGCTAACAATGTCAACAGTGATATCTGCTTCTATGGATAGACTGTGTCTAAAAGATGTTATGGAAAAAAAATAAGTTTTATCTCACAAGAGAGAGACTGAGTTGAAAGTGGACCTACAAATGACAGGCCACAAGAATGACATGGAAAAAAATGTTACACTGGACATACAAAAGAAACCAGCTGATGTTTTAATAATTAAAAGGAATATACAAACAATAAACCAAGAGAGTGACCTGGATAATTTTCTCATATTTGATTTAAAAAAGAGGCTTGTTAAAATTTTGAAGAATCTTATGAGAGAGGACAAGAAAAAATGAAATCAAGTTGTACCACATTATTTGAATGGACTAAATATTAAGATTGTTAGAAGCAGATATCACTGT